CTGCTGGGCTCCGGCGATCCTTCCGCCTCAGCCTTCCAAGTAGCTGGAACTATAGGCACTCACTACCACGCCCAGTTAATTTTTGATTTATTATAGAGACGAGGGCTTTCCAAGTTGCCCAGGTGGGTCTCGAACCCGCAGGTTCAGGCAATCCACTTGCCTCGACCTCCCAAAGTGCTGGGATTACAGACTGAGCCACCGAGCCCGGCCAGGGATACTACATTTTAACAGAAAGTCCTACTGGATGGTGCTTCCCAGGGGTGTGGTTCAGACAGCATCAGGTCAGCTGAGCTCCACAGGGGAACTGGGCTCCCATGTCCATCCCCCCAGGTAGGCCTTGGTAGGCCTGGCTGTGGCCAGCTCTGGACAGAAGCTGCCTGGGCGACTGCAGGGGCACAAGAATTTCTGCGGGCCATTTGGGGGAGGATCCGTCTTCTTGGCTAAAAATCATCCCTCGTGGGCAGACGGTTCAGTCTCCCGTGCAAAGCATCGGTAGTGACCACCCAAGATGCTCCCATGGAGTTCACATGCCCCGGGGTAAGACAGGCTTGGGACAGAGACCCTCCTCTCAATTCCTGGCTCCCATCCACCCTCCTGTTGAGCAGATGAGGACACTGAGTTCCAGGGCTTCCTGGATGCTCCACCTTCTCCCTGCTCTGTGGCAGGTGAAAACCAAGCTCTCGTTACCAGAAAGCACCCCAACTTAAATTTTCTGCACGGTTCAGGGCCTGGGCTGCAGGGGTGGGTGGTGGCCATGGCCCTTCCAAATACACAGAACTGCGCGTTCTGTCTCTCCTCTTTTACTCTTCCTCCCCAGCCCCCCACGAACTGTTACTTGAGGTTCTCTGATGGAAGGCCACCCACCGTGTCCCATAAACCCCAGGCCAGAAACTTCTCCTTCCCTGGAAGATTCCTAAGGGGGACTTGGGGAGCTGTCGGCGGAAGATTCTAGACTAGAACCCAGGAGGCCCTCCCTCCATGTTTCTGAACCTCAGGGCAGCAGCCCTGCTCTGTCAAGCCCTGCACAGACACCAGGTCCTCCCCGCCCTGAAGCCCACAGGTGGGCTCCATCCTTCCACTCACCCATGGTGAGGCCCTCGGGGGAGTGGAGGCCTGGGGGGGTCTCTCCAAGCTCGCTTTGAGTGAGCCTAGCCAGGCCGCGTAGCCGTGTCTTCTCTGATAGTGATTCAGGGGGACCCGGTGGCTGGCCACGCAGACCCACCTGGGCTGGACGCTGCTTCTATGGGACAGGGCAGGCCCTTGGTGGGTGGGAGTGCCCTGGGGGCATCCCCACACTGAGGCAGAGAGAGGGAGCCCACCCCCACCCTTGGCAGATAGGGCGGCTGACGCCCTGGGGATAGGGTGCTGTCCAGGTCACATGGCAGGTCAGGCCCCGGGACCTTGGCATGTGAGGGGCTTGTTTACCCATCCCTTCTGTCTGTGTCTAGTGCCTCTCCTTGGCCAATGCTTTTGTTGTTTTTTAAAAGTATGTATGTATTTTTGTTTTGTTTTTAAAATAGAGGCGGGTCTCACTGTGTTGCCCAGGCTGGTCTTGAACTCTTGGGCTCAAGCAATCCTCCCGCCTTGGCTCCCGAAGTTATGGCCTGAGCCGCTGTGCCCAACTGATTACTGTTTTTATCAGTCACGCCGGAGAAAGGTGGGCTCTACGCCGACCCCCTGTCTACGAGGCATCTGGGAAGCACAGGTGGGGAGAGAGTGGGAGTTGCCTGGGCATTCTGCCCCCAGGGCCCTCGGTCCTCCCTGGGGAGACGGGCACCTCGCCCCCGCTGGCCAGGCTCCTCCCGTCTCCCGCAGGGACACCAGCGACGTCGGGTGCTGGCCTCACTCTGACGCTCACACTCTTGCTGGGAGCTGGGACAGGTGTCCCCAACCGCCTCGGTGCAGCCTGCCGGGGCCACGTTCCTGCTGAGACAGGCAGGAGCTGGTGGGAGGGGTGGGTGAGCAGGGGCCCGTCCACCTGCCCCCGCAGGGGCGAGACCCCCCCGGCCCCCCCGGAGTTTCTGAGCCCCAGAATCCAGGCGCATCCGAGGGTGCCCGGCCTCTCCCTCCTCTCGCGCCTTCCCGCCGAGCTCTGCCCACAATGCTTTTGGCACCTTCTTGCCACAGTGCGGGTCATGGCACTCATTTCCCCCCCAAAACGGATACGAAACAAGGGGTCTTTAGATTCGAGGTCAGGAAGACCTGGCTTGGGGTCTGGGGAGGCGGGTCTTCCGACGTCCAGCCTGGGCGCACGCGTGGGGCCGTGGCCGGGACCACCCGCAGCTGCTGAGGAGATGCTGAACTTGGGAGGCCAGTTGCAACAACTGCTCTCGCATCGATGCCCTGTGCCCTTCCTGAGGGGCTGGGGTCGGCTGCGCCTCCTTGGAGGAGCAGGAAACACAAAACACCGAGGAAGCACGAGCGTGTCGGTCTCCCAGCTGCAGCCGTGAGAAGCGATCTGGACTTGAACCCGGGCGCTGGCCTTCCCGCCTGCTTCGCCTTCCCCCAAGGACAGGCCGTGAGATGAATGTGATCACCGACCAGGCCAGGGGTCTGTGGCCAAACCGCAGACCCGGGAGGAAGCGGGCCAGGCCATCTGGGGAGCGTCTCCCCGCCCCGCCGTCTCTGGCTCCCCTGAAGCATCTCCACCAGGAGCCAGGCCCGCCCATGAGCCGAGCCAAGGAGGCTGCAGGTGTTCCCTCAGCCCAAACCATGTGAAAATCGGGGCTCCCTGCCCCAGACTCAGGGGGCCAACCCAAGGTCACCTGCAATCTGGACGTATTTCCGTGGCTTTGACTTCATTGACCTGGCCTGTTCCAGTTCAGTCCGTGAGTGGCCAGAGACAGCCAGGGCCCACCGAGGCACACCTGCGCCCATCACCTCGGTGGGAACCCCGCTCCCCTCTGTCCCCTGAGTACCCACTGCCTGCTGTCTGCAGACTACAGGGCATGCTTGGCAAGACCAACTGCTGCAGCTCTCACGGGACTGGCCTGGAGCCTTGGTGGCCCAGTGGGTGACAAAATCCTACTGATCTCAACCAGGGCATGAGGGGCTGATGGAGGGGACAGAGGTGGACTCCCCTTCCAGGCAGGAAGGCAGGGTTGCTCCTGACACATGGGCAGGTGTGAAAGAGTTTGGAAGGGTGACAGCAGGGGACCGGGCATCACCTCATCTCGAGGAAGTGAGCAGGGCAGGGTCTAACACAGGGCCCTCTCCCAGGGGCCAGACCAGGAGGAACTGGGCGGGAGCTGTGTGTTCTAAAAACAGCAGAGACAAAGAGCACCCGGAAAGGAGGGCTCTATCAAGGTCTTACCAAGCAGAACACTCCTGGTGAGTGAGGGGCTTGAGGGAAACTGAGGCAGGAATGCCCATCTGCATGGGCACTGATCTGAGACCCCTCCCACCCCCGGGTTCAGTGTCTCTGTCTCTTGGGCTAGTGACTCCCAGAAGGCTTTGACACCTGAAGAAAGGGTAGTCAAGCCAGGCACGAAAAGCTTTCCAGCTCCCCTCCCATCCGAGGTCAGAGGAAGGAACCATCCTACACGAGGGCCTTAGTTTCAGGGACGGCGCTGATCTGCTCCCCACGTGCTCTGCCTCCCACACTGTGCCCGTGACAGACAGTGCCCGTCGATCGCCACCAGCAGAGCCAATCGATCAAGGCCCTCACCCCAACCCAGACGCAGTCTCTCACTCCAAATGCCCTGGGCAGCCCATCCCCAATCACGCAAGCTTGCAGCAAAATCATTTTTAGCATCCTCGTTTGACGTGGGACTTACCAAAGATTTACTAAGCACTTCCTAGAAGCTCGTAGATGGCTGCAAAGCATGGGCCCTGGGCCCAAGACTCTTACAGGGTTGTTTTCTGGGAGGGTTGGGGTGGATTAGAAGCCACCCTCTGGTCAGTGACCACAGGGTGGGCCACCTTGGTCTCTCTGTCCATATCTGTTTGCATTTTGTTTTGAGTTGAAGTCTCACTCTGTCACCCAGGCCAGAGTGCAGTGGTATGATCATGGCTCACCGCAGCCTCCACCTCCTGGGCTTAGGCGATCCTCATGCCTCAGCCTCCCAAGTAGCTGGGACTATAGGTGCGTACCACCATACCCGGCTCAGTTTTAAATTTTTCGTAGAGACAAGGTCTCACTACATTGCCTAGGCTGGTCTCGAACTCCTGGCCTCAAGTGTTCCTCCTGCCCTGACCTCTCAAACTGCTGAGACTGCAGGCATGAGCCCGGTTTCTCTGTCCATATCTGGTTTGGGAGTTTGAGCCGAACCAGGCCTAGACTAAGGACGGGAGAGGGCCCAAGTTCTGGCTGGGGTCTGAGGTCCTGGGACCCGGGGAGTTGGGGACCCGTGGGGGTGGATGGAGGAGGAGGGAGGGGGCATCTGGCTTCCGGCCTCCTGAGCAGCTGGGGCCGCTGCCCGCCGGGAGCGTCAGTAGATCCCTTTCACCCTCTTGTTGTCGGGATCGAAGGGAGACTTCAGGTGAGCCCGGGCGGCGTAAGTCACCCCCATCCTCTCCAGGGAGTAGTTCCCACTCTTCACAAAGTCCAGCGAGACCTGGGACAGAGCGGGGACCAGGGTCACTAGTGGCTGGGTGTGGGGGGGCGCTGGGCTCACACCGGCCTGCCTCTCAAGGGAGGGGCTCTCAGCCTGATGCCTGCCCTGCAGCCAAACTTTTCCCGGTGCCCGAGCCTCCCTGCCTTCACCGGGGCTCAGGGCAGGGAGAGCCCGTGTCCCCATGCCCCGCATGAGACTTGAGCCTCTGGGGTCTGGCAAAGCCGAGGTCTGGCAGCCAGCAGGACTTCTCCAGGGGGACAGCATCCCACCCGCCGGCCCCAGGATTCCAGATCCCTGGGAAAACACCCAAACTCGGCCTGTTTCCCCGGAAACTGGGCAGGCGCAGAGGCTGGAGCAGAGCCGAGGAGGCTGGCGGCTGGTCAGGTTCGAATCCCACAGGGCAGGGGTGGTGGGAACAGCTTTCTAGACAGCTTGGCCCCTGCAGCTTCCCTCTCCCACGTCCCAGCTTGGCCTCCCAGCGAGTCCTGGGAGGCAGTCAGCCCCAGATGCGGGTGCTCTCTGGCGTGTGGGAGGACGGCGGTCATCCAGCCTGGTACCAGGAGACGCTGCCACCAGGAGGACAGTCCGGGCTGCTCAGGGAAACCTGTCCTCCCCATTCAGCAATTACACCAGGGCCAGGGCCACGGGAGGGTGTCCAGGCTGTACTCCTGACAGTTCAGGACCGGGTAGAAAAATGAAAAACAAACACAGCTTTTTACATGACTAGAGTTTCTGAGCTGTGTGTGTGCCTGCAGGGCTGAGCCCTCCAAACTGTCCCCAGCCGGCCCGTGGGCCGGTGACCCAGGGGCTGGTGGCCTTCGGATGTCTGGAAGCAGGTGCTTCCAGGAGCGGACAGTTCAGAGCTGGCACAGAGTCCTAGCTGAGCAATCCCAGTGAGGCTTGAAACCCTGCCTTTCCTGTCTATGGACGGGTTTCTCCATCTTAGGAAGAAATCTCTGTCATCCCAAGGGTGTGCTGGGAAATGCGTCACAGTCAGCCCTCGGGGTGAGGGTTCATGATTTGTGGCGTTAGGCCCATTTTCCTGGTGTAAATGCTCTGACGTCCCGGATGGAGGAGGCGGGAGGAAATGTACACAGCTGGCCTGAGCCAGCCCCAGCACCCATTGGGCACCAACGCCTAAGTGTTCTGGTCCACTTCTCTGGATACTGTTTAACCTGCACTTTCTTAGTCACATCTACGATAAACTCATCCCTGGCCCTGGAGAAAAGGCAAGTGTTATTGTTCTGTAAAGAAGAGGCAACTGGGCTGGGCACGGTGGCTCACACCTCTCATCCCAGCACTTTGGGAGTCCGAGGTGAGAGGACTGCCTGAGCCCACAGGTTCGAGACCAGCCTGAGCAACTTGGCAAGACCACGTCTCTACAATAAATAATTTTTTAAAATAGCCAGGCATGGTGGCTTGTGTCTGTAGTTCCAGCTACTTGGAAGGCTGAGGCAGAAGAATCACCTGAGCCCAGCAGGTCAAGGCTATGGCGGTCGTGAGCGTGCCACTGCACTCCAGGCTGGGTGACAGAATGAGACTCCAACTCAAAAAAAAAAAAAGAAGAAGAAGAGGCAGCTGGCAGGGCACAGTGTCTCACTCCTGTCATCCCAGCACTTTGGGAATAGGAGGCCGAGATGGGAGGATCACTTGAAGCCAGGAGCTCAAGACCAGCTTGTACAACAGAGCCAGACCTTGTTTCTACAAAAACATGAAAACTTTAGCTGGGCGTGGTGAAATGTACCAATAATGCCAGCTACTTGGGAGGCTGAGGCAGGAGGATCGCTTGAGCCCAGAAAGTGGAGGCTGCAGTGAGCTATGATCACACCACTGCGCTCCGGCCTGAGTGACAGAATGAGACCTCGTCTCTAAAAATCAAAAGAAGAAGAGGAGGCCGGGCGCAGTGGCTCAGCCTGTAATCCCAGCACTTTGGGAGGCCGAGGCGAGTGGATTGCCTGAGTCCGCGGATTCAAGATCAGCCTGGGCAACTTGGTGAGACCTTGGCTCTACAATCAAAAAATGAGCTGGGCGAGGTAGCACGTGCCTGTAGCTCTGGTTACTGGGAAGGCGGAGGTGGAAGGATCGCCTAAGCCTAGCAGGTCGAGCCTGCAGTGGCCGGGAGCATGCCACTGCACTCCAGCCTGGGTGACAGAGTGAGACTCCAACTCAAAATTAAAAAGAAGTAGAAGAAGAGTTAACTGAGCTTCCACCTCACCCTCAGCCACCCTGGCCCCGGGCACGGGAGCATGGCTTTGCCTGGGGCCCAGGGCTGGGGTCTCCCCAGGGTCAGAGAGGCCCCGTCAGCCCTGGGGGCCATGGCATGACAGGCGCTGCTGACTGAGACCCTACTCTTTGTTGCCAAGAACCGCTTCTAGGCGGCCTGTGCAATGGTGCTGTGAGGTAGGCGGGAGTCTGTCCCCATCTTACAGATGAGGAAATTGAGGCTTAGAGAAAGACCCTTGTCGAAGGTCACTAAGGTCACCCAGCAAGTAAAGGGCAGAGCCCTGGAGGCGGGTGGTCAGGAGGGAAGGCGGGAGGGTGGAGGGAGGAGGTGGAGGTCAAGCCTTTGTTCCGAGCCTTCAGCTCCATCTCGGGACTCACCCCTACCCACTGCCACCCTCCCCAGGGCTCCGTGGGACAGCGACCATGCAGCCTTGCCCCAGGCCCAGTGGGAGCTGCTGGGCCACCCCCTCGGGCCTGCAAGATGCCACCCCTGCCCCTGCAGCTCCTGCCAGGCCGGGCTGACTCACTCCAGCCCGTGTCCTGTGGCTGCTTCTCCAAGTCCTTCCTTCCCTGGAGTCTGGGGTGGGAGCCTCAGCCAAACGTCCTCAGAGACTGTCGGGCTTGGGCTGGAGGGCTCGGGAATCAGCCTCTGGGCCTCACTCAGGACCAGGGCAGATGGCAGACTTGCTCCCGTGGAAAGACATGGCGCTGCTTGCCAGCACCTGCACTCCCACGGACCAGAAAGACCAGACGAGGAGGCAGAGTCACCCCTCTCGCCTCTGGGGAGGCTGCCCATCTCCTGCCTCTCCCGGCCGGGCTGTCCAGGCTGTCCCGGCACTTGGCCCAAAGCCGAGCTGGGTTAGGGTTAGGGTCAGGGTCAGGGCCACAGTCCGGGCCTGGGTCACCCGGCGGGTGGCGGGTGGGGTCGGCTGGGGTGAGGAAGGGGAAGAGGAGGAACGTGGGTCTCGAGAAAAGTCTGGGTCTCTGGTCACCCTGAGCCCACCCCCCCACTCCCCAGGCACAGGGTGGGTGGCAGCTCGAGGTCTGGGTCTCTGCCTCAGGAGCCCGAGAGGGTGAGCCCTGGGATGTGCCCCGCCTGACCAGGAAAGCCCAGAGCACCAGTCTTCCTTCAGAAGAAAGCGGAGACCAGCCCCGACGCTGCAGAGGCCTGGCCAGGGAGTCATCCTCCTTCTGGGCTCCAGGCCCCTCCTCCCTTGCTGGACCCTCAGCCAGGGCTTCCTCCGCAGCCCAGCACACTTGGGGGGCCATGCGGCATGCTGCTTGGAGCCGGAGCTCCCCTCAGCAGGGCCAGGGAAGGGGACTCACCGGCCCGCCGCTGGGGTCGCGCATGTAACCGTAGGCGATGGTCTTGTCGATGGTGAAGCCAAAGTCGGCCCTCCTGACGTGGCCCACCACGTGGCCGTTCCTCCAGATGGCCTCCAGGCCGAACATGGGCACTTTTCTGGAAGAAGAAGTCGAGACAGCTGGGACCCCGGGAACCCTGTGGTGGAAACACGCCCACCTCGTGGGACGGTGCCCGACAGACCGCAGGTTCCACACGGGGAGGGCTGGCCGGCTAGGACCCCGCTGGCCCCAGAGCCAGCCCAGCACCCAGCCCGGATGCCTGGCCGCAGGCTTCAAGGGAGTCCAGTGCATGATCAGAAAGCATCACAACCAGGCTCCAACATCGTCGGCGTTTCTAGAAGCCAGCCCCATGCCCAGGAGGGCCCTGCTGTAGACATCCTCCCACTGAACTTCTGAATGGGAACGTTAACATCGTGATGGCTTGTTCTATTCGGTTTGATTTGCCTTTTTTCTTTTTTTAGTCAGGTGTCCCTCTGTTGCCCAGGCTGGAGGGCCGTGGCACGATCACGGCTCACAGCAGCTTCGACCTCTTGGGCTCAGGTGATCCTCCCACCTCAGCCTCCTGAGTAGCTGGGACAACAGACATGTGCCACCATGCCCGGCTAATGTTTTTGTTTTTTTGTAGAGATGAGGTCCCGCGATGTTGCCCAAGCAGGTCTTGAACAATCCTCCTGCCTCGGCCTACCAAAGTACTGGGATTACAGGCACAAGCCACCGTGCCCAGCCAGGTTTATCTTTTTTTCTTTTTCCTACAGTATAGCACATAATTTATTAAAAGAACTATTCTTTATTATATATACTATATGAAAGCTTGCTGTAAGTTTTTTAAAATTCCAAGTAGGAAGACAAAGAAAAAAGTAAACTGAAATCACAAGAATGCCAGCACATGGGGGCAATTCACAGACGTCCGTCTGCAGACCCTTTTCCCTGGGGCTGGTCAGCACGGCCTGAATTGTGTGGATCCCACAGCGAATCAAAAGAGCCCAGGAAGGAGGGAGGACTTTGGGTTCAAACGGATTGGGGCGAGGCCCGAGGGAGGTTTTGCAAGCATCTCTGGTGTCGGTTTCACTCCTAGTCCTACAGAGCAGCTGCTCATTTCACCGAAAGCATGAACACTGGAGCCCCAGAGAGCCCCTAACTCCCCGGGGATCCCAGACCAACGCGATGGCATCAGCGACATTGTCTCTGCGCCTGGAACTGTGACAGCCCAGAGCTGTGGTGCGGTGTTGCCATCTTGCCGCATGACAGAAAACCCCTCTGGGTGGTGACAGGTGCTGTCCGAGGCTCCCCTGAGGCCAGACATCAGTCCGCGAGCGCTTGCTGGGGGGGCCAGAGGGGACACAGAGACCCCTCCTCTGCCCAGGGACCCCCTCAACCGGAGCCAGGCTGCACCCTGGGAGCTGGACGGGCCGTCACGTGGAGAGGCCCAGCTGACAGGAGAGAAGCCGCAGGACAGTGACACGCACGGCTCTGCTTGTCTGCCCCACCTCCGCCGTCACTCCTGACACTTCTTTGAAAGCTCCAGAAATCTAGGCGAAGTGCCGCCGTGGACGGCCGACTGACACCTCCCCATCAACAGAGCCCAGGGCTCCCAGCTGCCCAGAAGACTGCTGCTCCGGCCCTGTGGGCGCCCCAGGGCCTCAGATGTCTGTATGGCAAGGTCACCTCGGGACCGCTCGGCAGCCCAAGTGGGACTTGGTTCCCAGGATCCAAACCTTCCCAGCAACACGGCCCGCCCCCCAGCAATGAGCTCAGAGCTGCCCCTTAGCGGGACAGCAGGGGCTGAAACCCCACACCAGGGTCTCCCCTTCCACTCTGCCTACGGCTGGGTGTGTCACCCTGTCCCTTGGCACCCTGTGGTCTCCATTTGTAAGTGGGGATGGCAGCCCCAGCCGGGACCCTCTCTTCCCATGGTGGGGCTGCAGGGAGGACATCACCAGGGCAGGGTTGGAGGTTGCGGTGGTGCCGTGACCAGGCAGCCGGGCTCCACAGGCTCGACTCCCAAGGCTCTTGGCCTGGATCTACCCGTGAACGGGCTGGCTTGGCAACACTTTTCTCTTCTAAGATCTGTATTTAAGGCTTGGCTCGGTGGCTCCCGCCTGTAATCCCAGCACTTCAGGAGGCTTAGGTGGGAGGATCACTTGAGCCCAGGAGTTTGAGACCAGCTTGGGCAGCACAGCAAGACCTCATCTCTACAAAAGATAAAAAAAAAATGAGTGGGGCATGGTGGTGTGTGCTTGTGGTTCCAGCTATTTGGGGGCTAAAGCGGGAGGATCACCTGAGCCCAGAAGGGAGGCTGGGGTGAGCCGTGATCGCACCATTGCACTCCAGCCTGGGACAGACTGGGACCCCAACTCAAAAAAAAAATCTGTGTTTAGGAGGGTGTCCCTTCCTTATGTTCCCACGGGCCCTGCTGACCCCAGTTCCACCCCCTGCCTGACCTGGGGGGGGGTCTGAGTTTGCTGTCTCAGCCTGGCCTGGTTTGAATCCCAGCTCTGCCTTTAACAGCGTGGGACCTGGAGAGACGGCACATGTCTCGGGCTTCGGTTTCCTCACCTGTGCACGTTCTGGACGAGCGTGGCTGGCATGTGGGAAGTGTCAGTACTGGGGGGCTTTGCCTAGGGGACCAGGAAGCACCTGCCCGCTCCAGCTGTGGGCGGTTGCTTCCAGGCAAGTCCAGACGGGCGGGATACTCACTCCTCCACCGTGAAGCATACCAGGCGCCGGCGAAGACCTGAGGCCCGTTGCTTCTCCAGGGCCTCGCGCCCCAGGAAGGGCACAGGGGTCTTGAGCTTGCAGGTGAAGGCCAGGCCCGCCTCTAGGGGGCTGTCGTCTGGCCGCAGGTCCGCGTGCCAGTGCCGGTAGCCTGTGGAAAGGAGAGAGCGTGGGGTCCGTGCCCAGCTGTGAAGGGGCAAGCCCCTGAAGACAGACGTGGATGCTGCCCGAACCCACCCACCTCCAGCCCCAGATCCCCACCCTTCGAGATGCTCGGTCACCTGGGCAACCATTCCAGAAGGTTCCACTGGGTAAGCTCCCCCAGAACAGCATTCCAGCCTATCAGGCCCGGGCACTGGGGAGGGATATGGGAAGGGGGTCTGGTGGCACTAGGAGCGTTGCCTGATACCCACTCTGAGCCTCCATTCCTCTGCAGGGTGAGGGAGGGAGCTTCTTCCCAAAGCTCTGGCCCCTGTTCTGACATTCTCCAAATCTTTCACGGAGGGGCCGGGCGCAGTGGCTCAAGCCTGTAATCCCAGCACTTTGGGAGGCCAAGGGGGAAGGAACGCTTGAGCCCAGGAGATTGAGGCTAGCCTGGGCAGCATAGCGAGGCCTCATCTCTACAAAAAATTACAAAAATTAGCCAGATGTGGCGGTGCACACCTGACGTCCTGCCTACTTGGGAGGCTGAGGCGGGAGGAGCGCCTGAGCCCAGGAGATGGAGGCTGCAGCGAGCCGGGTTTGTGCCACTGCACTCCAGCATGGACGACACAGTGAGACCCTGTCTCCAAAACAAAAACAAAAACAAAAACAAAAACAAAACAAAAAGCTCTCAGGGAAACCAAGGTGCTGAGTTCAAATCCAGCTCTGGCCCCATCCCCAAACACTGGGCAGTGCCTGACCTCTCTGAGTTCAGGTGTGTGCAAGTGTGGGTGATCCCAACATCATCTCTGGGGTCCCGCACGAAGACCAGGTTCTTGAGCAGACAAGAGGGTTTGGGGAAATGGACGGTGTCTGGAGCTAGAGGTGCCTAACAGTCTCTCTGCCTCCAGGAGACTGGGGCATTGTCCCAGCCCACCCCGTGCTGTCCAGACCCTGAGCTCACCTTTTTCGATGCTCAGGGAGTCGATGGCACGGTATCCCGCATTGACGAGGCCGTGCTTGGCACCCGCAGCCATCACGGCCCGGTACACAGGCACGCAGGACGCCCTCGGGACATGCAGCTCCCAGCCCAGCTCCCCCACAAAGGACAGACGCATGGCGCGGACCTGGGGGAAACAGGTCATGGCTTAGACGTGGCCAAGGTTGGACAACAGAGGTCCAGGCCCAGCCACCGCTTCCCAGAGGACGGTTCCTGCTGTCGCCATGATCATCAGCATGGCCCTGCCTCTTGGCCGGATCACCAAGAGATGGGGTCTTCCAAGGAACGTTCACCGGCGCTGCTCTAAAAATCTTTTAATTTTTATTTTTCTTTATTTTTGTAAAGACAAGGTCTCACACTAATTGGTCTTGAACTCCTGGGCTCAAGCAATCCACCTGCCTTGGCCTCCCAAAGTGCTGGGGTTACAGGCGTGAGCCACCGTGCCCGAGGCTGTGGATCTTTGGCTGTGAATGATGCTTGCACAAGAGCTGGGTGGTAGGGACGAGGAGCCCCAAAGCTCCAGACACTGTCCGTTTCCCCAAACTAGAAATTGCAGCACCGGCTATGGTATGCTTGTGTGCTAAGCTCTTTCCATACATGATGTCCCTTCACGGCCCATGTGGTGATGGGAAAACCACTGTTAATAATGTCCATGGTGAGAGGATTGTGTGAGCCCAGGAGTCTGAGACCAGCCTGGGCAACATAGCGAGACCCCATCTCTACAAAAAATAAAAAGTATAAGTTGGGCATGGTGGTGTGCACCTGTAGTCCCAGCTACTGGGGAAGCTGAGGTGGGAAGATCGCCTGAGCCCAGGAAGTTGAGACTGTAGTGAGCTGTGATCATGTCACTGAACTCCGGCCTGGGTGACAGAGTGAGACCCCAATTCAATAATAATAATAATGATGGTGAGCTGGGCTCAGTGGCTCAGCCTGTAATCCCGCGCTTTGGGAGGCTGAGGTGAGTGGATTACCTGAGCCCATGGGTTCGAGACCCACCTGGGCAACTTGGCGAGACCTCATCTCTACAATAAATCAAAAACTAGCCGGGCGTGGTAGCGCGTGCCTGTAGTTCCAGCTACTTGGAAGGCTGAGGCGGAAGGATCGCCGGAGCCCGGCAGGTCGAGGCTGCGGTGGCTGGGAGTGGCCACTGCACTCCAGTCTGGGTGACGGAGTGAGACTCCAACTCAAAAAATAATAATAAAAAATAAAAATAAATTCTTAAAAATAAAAAACTAGCCGGTGTGGTAATGTACACCTATAGTTCTGGCTACCTGGAAGGCTGAGGCAGAAGGATCGCCGGAGCCCAGAAGGTCGAGGCTGCAGTGGCCGTGTGTGTGGCACTGCCCTCCAGCCTGGGCAGCAAGAGTGAGACTCCAACTCAAAATAATAATAATGATGTTGACGGTGATGATGCCTACAAGGTGGTGCAGAAATAGAGGCTCTGCTGGGCCTGGTCTGGGCATATTCAGCTCTGCCCGGATAGCTGGTATCTGGGAGGGTGTGTCCCCCACACCTACACATTGGGCTAGCGGTCTGCTGCTCAGGGGCTGCACCCTCTGGGAGGATGTGACTTTCCCCCATGTTTGGTTTGGGTGCATGCTATACACACACTTAGCATCCGGAGTCTGTTTCTCAGCCCTTAGGCAAACCCATGAGCCCACCATGCCCCCATGCGCAAGGCCTGAGGGCTCAGCCCTGGGACACCAAGTTCACTAAAGAACACAGAAGCCTGGGCAAATCACAGAGCTCCCAGACTGTGGAGGAGCTAATGGCATTCCTGCTCCGAGCTCCTATTGGGATCATGTCCAGATAATGTCAGGCAGAAGGGGGGCGGAACCCGCTCCTAAACCTGGCACTTTAATCGCATTGCTGCCAAGGGGCTGGATTCTAAAAGCTGGTGAAACGGCGCACATTTGCTCTGAGCTGCCATTTGCCCAGGCTTCTTAAAAAACTCAAAATTGACACTGAAGATGTACTGTTGACATTTCCCTGCTTCCCAGGTGCAAACTGTAGGCCCCTGACAAAGATTGCCTTGTCAACGGGGCTATAATTTTAGACAGCCTGGGAGGAACTTGGGGCTCAAAGACAATCTCATTTTGAAACGGGAACAATAATTTTTCAAGCCCACCCATTCGCGGTCCCATAATGGTGGGCTCGGGTGCAGACATGCACCCCTCACCCTGCTCGTGAGAGGGTCAGAGGGTGGGATGGAGTCATCCCGTCCCTCCCGGCTCCCTGAGGCTCAGGGAGGCTGGAGTGGGCTGAGCCCAGCCTCCATGGTACCCCGGGCACAGCCCAGCTCACTGTAGGTGTTGAAGAAATAGTCCCCGAACAAAAGAGGAAAACAGCTTTGAATGGTCCCCTGCTTTCTGGCAAAGTGAAGGAACTCTGGGGGAATCCAGGGGCCTCTCTGAGTTCCCAGTCACCTGTGGTTGAGAAAGCTTGTGATTTTCTCCATCAAAGCAGTGGAATGGGCAGGTCCTGATTTATTCCGAGTGGAGACATGTAAGGGGAGGGAAAGGCCAAGGATGAAGACATTGGGTTGGCCAGACCTGGGGAGAATGGCATCTCCCAGCGCCCACAGGGTGGGCCTCACTCAGCCTCAGTGCCCTTATCTGGAGAACGGGCCAAGGATGGTGAGTGTGAGTGTGAGGTGATAGAAAGCACAGGGCCTGGTGCAAGGTCATCAGGAGATATTGGCTCAGACGGGCTTTTAAAATCCCAAGTTGAGGCAAATCCCCAGCAGTGGACAGAGTCACAGAATTGTGTGCAAGGTCACTAGGAAGGGCTTCAAACCAGGTTTCACTTAAATCCTTTGCTCACCCTAAAGATTCCACAAAAGCTTATAGAAACTAATACGTGAACTCAGCAAAGTTGTAGAATTCAAAACCAACACACAAAAATCAGTTGCATGCAATAGCAACAAACAATCTGAAAAGGAAATGAGGGAAATAATTCCAATTCCAATAACATCAAAAAGAATAAAATATTTAAGAGGAAACCAAACCAAGGAGCTGAAAGATTTGTACATTGAAAACTACAAAGCATTTCTAAAAGAAGTTAAAGAAGACATAAATAAATCCATGACATACCATGTTCATGGATCGGAAGATATAATATTGTTATGGTACCCATACCACCCAAAGTGACCTACAGATTTGAGACAACCTCTATCAAAATGCCAATGGGATTTTTTTTTTAATAGAAAAAATCCATTCTAAAATTCATCTGGAATCCCAAGGGACCCCGAATAGGCAAAATGGTTTAGAAAAACAACAAAGTTGTAGGAGTCATACCTCCTGACTTCAAAACATATTACTAATCTACAGTAACCAAATCAATATGGTACTCTCTAAAGGCAGAAAAAATAGACCCATGGGATAGAATAGAGAGCCCAGAATAAACCCCTGTGTATGTATTCATGTAATTCTTATCAAGGGTGCCAAGACCACTCAATGGGGGAAAGGACAGTCTCTCCAACAAATGTCACAGGAAAATTGAATACACCACACCCAAATATTAGCTAGAAATGGAATGAGGACCTAACAGTAAGAACAGAAACTGTACAACCTCTAGAAGAAAGAATAGGGGAATTTGAAATAGTATAACTTATCTCTCAGATAGGATACCAAAAACTCACGCAACAAAAGTAAAAACAGAACTGCATCAAACAGATACTTTAAAGGCATCAAAAAAACAAAAACAAAAAAACACTAATGGGCTGAGGGAGGTAGTTCACGCCTGTAATCCCAGAACTTTGGGTAGTTGAGGCAGGAGGACCACCTGAGCCCAGAAGTTCAAGATCAGCCTGGGCAACACAGTAAGACCTCATTTCTTTTTTGTTTTTGTTTGTTTGTTTTTTGAGTCGGAGTCTCACTCTGTTGCCCAGGCTGGAGGGCAGTGGCACGTTCCCAGCCACTGCAGCCTCTACCTGCTGGGCTCCGGCGATCCTTCTGCCTCAGCCTTCCAAGTAGCTGGAACTACAGGTGCGCACTACCACACCCGGCTAATTTTTTGATTTATTGTAGTGATGAGGTCTCGCTAAGTTGCCCCAGTGGGTCTCGAACCCGCGGGCTCAGGCAATCCACTCACCTCAGCTTCCCAAAGACATGGGATTACAGGCTGAGCCACCAAGCCTGGCTGAGACCTCATTTCTATTGAAAATCTAAAAATTAGCTGGGCATGGGGTGCACATCTATAGTCCCAGGTACTCAGAAGGGTGAGGCAGGATCACTTGAGCTCAGGAGGTCAAGGCTGTGGTGAGCCATGATCATGCCACTGCATTCCAGCCTAGGTGACAGAGTGAGACCCTGACTCAAAAAAAAAAAAGCCACTAACAACAGAGTGAAAAGGCAACCTACAGAATGTGCAAATGTTATGTATGATAAGGGTCTTCTATTCAGGATAAATAAAGAACTCCTACAACCCAACAACAAATTATCAAATACCACCATCAAAAATGAGCAAAGGAGCCGGGCTCGGTGGCTCAGCCTGTAATCCTGCACCTTTGGGAGGCTGAGGTGAGTGGATTGCCTGAGCCCGCGGGTTCGAGACCCGCCTGGGCAGCGAGACCTCATCTCTACAATAAATCAAAAAATCAGCCGGGTGTGGTAGCGCGTGCCTGTAATTCTGGCTACTTGGAAGGCTGAGACGGAAGGATCACCACTGCACTCCAGTCTGGGCGACCAAGTGAGACTCCAACTCAAAAAAAAAAAAAAAATGGGCAAAGGATTTGAATAGCCATTTCTCAAAAAAAAAAAAAGAAAAAAGAAAGACAAATGGCCAAGAAGCATATGAAGATAGTCCACATAACTAATCATCAGAGAAATGCAAACCACACTCTTACGATGACAACTTTTTTTTTTTAATGAGGAAAAAAATAAGTATTGGTGAGGCTATGGAGAAATCAGAACACTTGTGCACCATGATGGGAATGTGCGATCGCGTAACGAGATTCACAGCTGCAAAGATGTGGAATCAACCTAAATGTTCATCAACTGATCAGCGGATAATGGAAATATGGTATACATACAACCTGGAATACTATTCAGCCACCAAAAAGAATGAAATAACGTCGTTTGCAGCAATTTGGATAATCGGAGACCCTCATCCTAAGTGAACCAACTC